TGTTTCATGATCTGCTTAACAATAGCGAAATGATGGCCATTTTAAGGCCGAAAATGCATCAAAATCGCGTATTTTCACAATTCCAGAACCGGATCTCAGTCATGCATGGATGGATTTTGTTCAGATTTAGCACAATGTGTTGTACATATGCAGGTGCATTTCGGTCATGATCTGCTTTGAATGTATATGTCACTCAAATATGAACGGAACGGGGACGTGTCATTGACAATGACTTGTTTGCTTCATAATATATGTAAATTAATGCAATTCTATCATAAATAAGTTAAAGAAATCCAGGTGTTATAAATCATACTAGGGTACAAAAAAACAGCAATACATTTTCTTGAAGTTAAGTTGTCAAAATATTTTGTAAACTCATATTTGTGCCAAGATTAGAATAGCCATACAGATTTGGTTTGAACCTACCATACGTATACCACCCAACAAATTGGCTTGAACATTTGGTGTGAATGAATAACCACAAAACTCTACTACATCACACATCTTTACTCTTATCCTTTCGCCACAGTGGAAAGAGTTCCTTAACAACCCCCACCCCCTGTAACCCTTAATTAGAACACTCCAGTCCCTCCAGATAACTATACACTACCTGAAAATGAGCATATACAAATAAAATGTGCACTGAAGGGGCAGGGGCAAGATTAGATTTATAGGTGAGGGGGCCCTAAGGAACGTTTGCCGCCATGGTACCTATTTACACTTGGCCGTTGGCCACAGTACCCACCTTCATTTGGCCACAATACCACCCATGTACACATAGCCGTCAGCCACAGTACCCATCTGTATTACAGTGATGTGGTAATGCCATTTTGTCTTATTACAACAGGTGGCAACATTGTGTCGAAAAACTGAAACATTCAACAATTAACCTACCCTCAAAATAACCACTACACTGAATAAATTATCACAACTTGCAACCCAACATGCAATTTAACTTTCGAACTGATTGTTGTAGATTATTGAAGTATAGTCCACTTGTGAGCCATCTAAGATAAAGTCAAGACTGCCATTGTATTTCGACCTTCATATATTCACAGATAACGCCAACTTTTAAAATAACACTAATCTTAACAGCCAAATTCTTGTACTTTGATCCACCAGGAATTGGGAATATAGTCTGCTTTTTGTGCATTGTCACATTCTAATCCTTAAATACTCAAGTTTAAGCAGTGCAATGTCATTTAACTGACTGCTTAAATACGATAATGTTCTGTGAACTAAGAAAAAAAAGTACCTGAAACGCTTGTACACATTTATACCCACATAATCTGAACTTGATTGGCAAATCCATACTCCTGATACCCTTAGCATATTACAATTCAGATAATGCATTTGTTCACATGTTTGACCTACATTGGGCCCAGGGTTCTCCCCAGGGCTTTTTAGCGCTGAGGTCCGCGGCGCTATACCTGTGAATCTCGGCGCTTCACTTGGGACCTCGGCGCTATGTGTTCCCACCTCGGCGCTTGATTTCATATTTGACATGCCAATATCAGATGTGAAAAAGCTTTGTTCGCCACGCCGGTCGGCCCCGACCGTCACTCAAAATTAGTGACCACCACGGAAATGCTTCAGACGAGGACTATTAATTACGTACTGACCGACACGCATCCTGCCAGTCGTGGATTATATTTTATAAACAATAGACCTAGTCGCTACGATACGTAGCGGCTAGTCAAATTTGTGGAATTAGCACCTCTTTCTTTGTAAGTAAATAC